GAGCTTTCGTTACCTGAGAGAGTATTGAACAATGTGCCTCCACCAAGACAAAAAAGGAAATGCTCTCTTTCTTGGGAATGGCAAACTATTCTAGACACTGTATCTATGAGTAAGCTGCCATGGACTCCATCATGGGCACTGCCATGCTTCAGGCTGTGCCGACCACAGCACAACGGACAAAGGAGATGGACAAGGCTTTTAATTACCTCAAAAGGGCTCTCTCCAGCGCCCCCTGCCTTGGATTCCCTGACTTCACAGCATATCTTGAACATTTGTGCTACTCAGCACATGACAGCAGCTTGTTAATCTGGTTATCAAATGATCATTCACAAGCCCCCACCCAAAGTTAAAACGCTCACTACATCTGAACCCAGATACTTTTCTTCCTATGATGGATGAAAAGACCAGATTTGTTGCAGACACCAATATCAAATACTGATTTCATTCTGTGCATGGACAGTCAGTAAGCAGACAGTCTGATAAAATAAAAACTAAATAAAAAATATTGCTATGCTGTAATAACTGAATAAAAAGTATTGGAAGCATGAGCGTTACCTTCTGGTTCCTTTGCTCAAGCCACAGTATTGTACGCTCTTACAAGAGCTTGCCTTCTGGCAAAAGAACAAAGTTGCAACCATTTACAATGATTCTAGATATGATTTTGTTGTTGATTAAAGTAAATTAAATAGTTAAGAGGTTGTCTTCTCTGTCCATGATCCCTTTCGTTTCTGTTGCCCACTGTCACACATGGCTCATCACAGGTGGGAAAAGGGGGATCAATGAGATGATAAGATCACAATGGTTTGCACCAGGCATCACATAAGGTTCACACACTGTAGTCAAAAGATGCATTATTTTTCAGCGAACTAGGAGAGACTACAGCACAGTGAAACATGATCATTTGTTACATTAATAAGGTCCATTTATAAATATGGAAATAGATTTTGTAAATATACAAAGCTATTAGAGCTACAAATACTTGCTAGTAATCCTTGTTGTAGACCAGTTTATTAACTTGGAAACAGGAAGACAAAATATGTTGTTAAGTGCCCTTAAGAGCATGCCGTTAGCTATAGATAGCTCAGGTCAGGTTGAGAGAATGAAATAAAGAAGCACTGACCAAAACGATGATGACCACTGATTTGAAGTGGCCACATACATTGGCTATTGTGATTATTCCATTCAAAGCACACCTAGTGCAAGCCTACCTTTGACACCCCATAAAAACTCTGCTTTGGACCGATGTGGTGGGTAGATGGGTGCATGTAAGAGTATGTTAATAAACTAACTAAACTAAACCAGGCCTTGTTTCATTTACAGGTATCAAGCAAACTGAAAACCTCAAATTAACTCATTCATCATTTTCATGTAGAAGATTATGTACTAATCAAATTTGGAAAGTGTCTCTATCTCACAGGTGAAAGGGCCTGTTCCAGGTGCTGTTAACAACCAGAACAACCATTATGAACCAAGGTAAAGCAGAATGGATCCATGCTTCCAGATACATGCCAGCCCTTCCCCCAGACGACCATGAAGAGGTGACGTATTGAGCACAGACTGTATATAAAGAGGTATAGAGGGACACAGGGGGTGGTTCTTCATTCTGCTACTAATGAGTTGTTTAGAGAGGAGGAGCTTGCTCTGGTAACTTAAATGTTCCTCACACAAGAAACACTATTCAAAGTGCGCACACACAGAATAAAAGAGCTAAATGAACTGCTAAGCAGAATGACTGATGATAATCACACTGACATGGTTTAGAGGGGACGAGTGGAACAAAGCAGACTTGAAGGTTGAATACAGACCTCCAAGTGTGTAAGTGTGGCTGAGGAGATTTGATAATTTGATAACTTGATTTGATAATTTGTATTCAATTCAAATGTTTCATTCCCAGTTTAACTTTATGTTTGAGCTCGTCTTTTGTTTTAATAAATTTTAGTGTTCCTATTTGATGTAATTAGTGTTCTTATTCCAAGGTTGTGAGGGTCTAAAGCTCTGGGTCAGTTGGTAATTGTCCCATACAATGTAAGTATTTTAGAGATTCAATTAGAGCAGGGGTGGGGAACGTCTGGTAAGACTGTTTGATCTGGCCTAATACATCCCATACACGTTTACTGGGCTGGTAACATATATTCTGTGCCAAATGTTTAATATGTATCATCAAGGATATTTTAATATTTCTAATTCAGATTCAGATGTCGGATTGAATGTTCTTTACAATTAAGTTCATTGCCCTTTGAAAAGGTAAACTTGATATGATATTTGATATGATATGAACTATGATATTATTATTTTATTAGCGGTTTAAAAGGGTTTAGAAGTTATGACAGTAATGTTATTTATTGCAATCATTTCTGGGACAATATAGTGTCAAAATTTGCTAATGAGACAGTCCTACCATAATATTTTCATAAAGCACCAAGTTAGAGGTTTCCTCATACAATTACAAATTGGTATTATGCAGTGATGTATCCTTAACTAAAAAGATATCGAATCAAATCGAATTGAGACCTTGTTAATCGGACTTGATTAATAATAAACAAATACTTAGTGCACTGAGAACAAATTTGGAGTGACTCTGTAACAATTTCCACACAGAGATTCTTCACACATTACTGTATATGCCACTATATCGTATTATGTATATAATGTATATCACATTATATCTGTACACCATTAAAAGAAGAGTACCTGGCTAATTCCACAGATACTCCCTTCTCTCTCTAAGCAGTATACACGGTCAGGTTATAGATAAAGGACCAACCATCAGTGCATTGTAGTGTCTACGCTTAGAGACATTCAAATCTAACTCAGATGCCCCACACAGAGAGGCACCAACTTCATGTAAGGACACAATGTGGTTTAGAAATGCATATTTATACTTAACTATCCAATAGGATGCAAACACCTCCATGTAACATAGAGAGTGAAAGCAATTCTAGCCATTCATAGATGTGCTGTTAGAATGGGTGACGCAAGTAGAGGAAGATATATGGGGATGCTGTGGGAGACATCTTCAGAAAACATCCATAACAGAAATTATATAGTATAGCTGCAAGCTTTCACAAGTCAGAAGTATTCAGTACAGTGCAAATACAGTCAGTGATGAATTTGTGTTAATTTGTTTCTTAATGTAAGTATTGTAGACATTATCTGTTGTGGCATTTCAGTTTTTTTGTTTTCATGGACAAGAGGCCAAAAACATTTTTGAGGTACCACCTTGACCTTCAACCACTCAACAATCTATCAAAGAATTCATGAGTCTAAGTAAATATTTGTGCCAAATTTGAAACGAGGAATTCTTAAGATAATACATTTGCGAGGTGTTGCGAGGTCAGCCTGACCTTTGACCACCAAAATCTGAGTTCAGATCTTAACACATTAGAATGACAAAATGCCTGATCAATGGAAAAAATGCACTTGAAATTAAAGAGGCAGTCTGAAGATGCTATGCTCTGAAAGTAAGATACTGTGAGTGACAGCAGGGGTGATTTCATCACTGGCTGACCTGCATCACCTGCAGAGGCACGCATGACTCAAGGACGTGATTAGCATCACTGCGAGTGCCTGACATGTGTGTTCTGCTGCTACAGGGGCTGCTCTTTTGTTCCACACACATGAAACAATGGGGAGGAGAAACATTGCCATTCATGACAATCTCTTCTCTGCAACCCACTATAGGTGGAATTCACTTTTTCTGACCCTGTTATATACAAGGAAGTAACTGCAACCGCATAATTCAGTCTAATGCTTCACTTTGCCTCTCTCTCACATGGTCACAGCTAGCTGGGCTTTAACTGCAATGCATATAGAGTATTTGGGGTAGGATGGTTGGAGCCCTTGTGGGAAAGGATTAATTATTATAGTCCTACCAAGATACCCCTTCCTGTATAATGCATATGATCTCCCTAAATAATTAGTTGAACTAAAAACACAATGTGATTTAGGAATGCATACTTTAGGCTTAAGTATCCAATAGCATGTGAACATCTACATGTTACATAGAGAGTGACAGCACATCCTTTCATGGATGTTCTGTTTGATTGGGGAATGCAAGGTGGGGGAAAATAATTGGGATGCTGTGTGAGACTTGGGTGTGACAATTGCTCATGTTACTCTCTTGGCATTTTACCTCTGGTCTCCTTGATGCATCAAGTCTTCATTAGAATCTTCTGCATATAACAACAGCTGATGCCTGAGTTCTCCTTTCACCAGCTTCCAGGAAACTTCCATCACATTAATCACATTACATTAGTACTCCGCACTTATGGGTTTGCAAGCAGCTATCTTCCAATTCAGCCCTTCATTTTTAACTCAGATACTCATCTGAAGTTTTATGACTGTGTCTCACACCGCTGAGATGCTGTTGTGGTGACAGAACCTGTACACAGACAGACAGATATGCTAAACTAATCAGAACTGCGTTTGTGGTAGGACCACATCTTGCTATGATGAACACACAATTTCAACTGTCTGGTATTCAGGCTCAGGGTGGTCACAACATTTGACTCAGCCCCCATATGATCTGGCTGTTTGCTGAGCAGATGATTTTCTGGCAGGTCAGACATTTTTGTTGTGGGTTAACTGCTGTTTGCAGTGTGAGCAGTTCTCATTCCTCATATGGCAGATGTCAGCGATCCGCTAAAGCTGTCATGAGGTTATTTTAATGGCATTTCTGCATGTTGTGGCCAACCTCAACTGATACTGTGCTGTAAGAACAAAGAAATACAACTAAACTTCACCTCAAATAAGACCAGGCTGTCCTCATCTCCTCCTGTCCTCTGCAGCTATACATTGCTCTTTCTTCTCACATATTTACCATTGAGAATGCTTTTGAGGATTGGACCTGGTGCACCAAAGTAGTATAAGAACTCTACATGTCCATACACCATTATTGGGAATGGGTTTCTGGCTTTTATATATGTATTAAGGATCAACCATTGAAGTTTTAACATTTAAGATGCTGCTCATATACTTATAAAAAGAAAGACGTCACTCACTGACTCATGGTCCATCAGGTCAGCCAGAACAAAGCAGCGATACTGCTGCTGGCCTGGGAGGGGTTTGTTGTAGTAGCCATTGTATTTCTTCTCATCACCCAGAGTAAAAATCTCAGGCAGAACGTCAAGCTTGGCAGTGATGTAGGGCTGCAGGAAGTCCTGGCTCTGTCTCCTCTTTCTCTGCAGTTTGCTGTCAGCACCAGTCTCCAGGAGCTGTCAGAGGGATGACACATCAGGAGACTTTGGTACTGAAATATCATGACAATGTAAAATAATTTAATGTGACCAAACAAAACTGATCTTTGTGGAGAGTTTTTCAAGGTTTTGCAACTAGAAGTACTTGACACTTAAAATATAACAAGATTTTCACTTAAACAAATGTTTAAGTGACTACCTACTTCTGAATGAGGTCACACAATAATGGCTGAGCCTATATTGTCTCCTGAAAATGTTACTGAAAATAATTGGCAGTTTTATGAACTGAATGTCTGTGAAGACATCCCCAAAATAAAACTGTTTTAAAGGTCCAGTGTGTTAGATTTAGGAAAAAGGATTTTTTTGCAGAAATTGAATATAAAATAATCCTAGTGATGTTTTCATCTAAATTGTATGAATTTTTGTTTTCTTTACCATAGAATGGACTCTTCATATCTAAAAACTTTATATTTACATGGAGGGGGGTCCTCTCTGTGTCGTCCAAACTGGACAAACTAAAACTTTTTGAGTTTTCATGACAACCGAAGTTCAGTTCAGTTTTACTCCCCTGAGGTTCATGCCCAGTCATGTTTGTTTACAAGAACCCCTCTATTGTTTGCAGAAGCATAAAAGAAAAACATAGTTCACTAAATATTTTCACATTACTATCACAGAACATTTCACGTAATAATGTGATAAATTCCTATTGATATAAAGATTATAAACCTATTACAGTACCACCCTAATTGTGGGCAAATTGCACTTTGGCGGATACAAGACAATTTATTATGAGACATGAACGGATTTGTTGAGTTTGAGGGCCTATTGTGACCTTTACAGGGAGTGCAGAGGGTCATGGCTTCATTACTGAAGATCTGCTGGTTCTGTGTGTGTGTATGATTGTACAAAGGCTCGCCTATCTCTGCACAAGACATCTTAAGCTGTATTGAGTCACCGTTCGTGGTTGCCTCTCTGACAAAGCCCCTTCTTTCCCAGCTACTCAGATTCTTCTTCCAATTCATAGTTATTGAGGTCACAGTACTCCTGGGAACAGTCAAAGCTTATTCATGGTATTATTACCTTGCCTTCAACTGTGCCCCACCACAGTTTTATTACAAAGACTTGGTTTTTAACTTGACCTCTGTGGTCTCACAACCTGTGACTTACTTATTTCAAAAGTATCAACAGTAAGATTTGCATTACTTTTAAATGTCTACTTCAATTAGCGTATTAATGTTCACAGGGTCACAGGGTATTGTTCTAGGGGTTATTGAGGCTGTGACATAGTGTGAAACAATCATCACTATGATAAATAAGCACAATAAAAGTGACATTTAATAAGTCTTTACAACTCTAGATCAGTCATACGTTTCTGATTAAGTGAAAAGAAATGACTGTTTCTGAGACAGGTACCAGCTGTGCCAAAAGACTAAATTACTATTCTTTAATGAGGACAAAGACAAATCCCCACTTAACATTTGTGTTTGACCTATGGGAGGTAAAAATAATATCCATATTTTCAAATGTTGTGTGTGGGTTTATTTAGTTACAGCTGCAGTTTTCCATTCCACAGAAGATAATACTAATGTGTAATCAACCCATATAAATGTCAGTAGATGCTAATGTAACTGCATCTAAAAATAAGTCACACCACAAATGTAGTAACGTTACATCATCTATGTCTGAAATTCATCACTTGTGGCTTTACACCTTTGTGTTTCTCAAACAAAAATGGCTGCCTTTCCATTCACAACACTCAAAATCACGCAGCTGTAATTACCCAAAAGAGACTTACTTTACATTGAAACTCTCCCAGAGAAGGATCAAGAGGACAAAAATGGTACAGTACCTAATCCCACCTCTGTGGCCCATTATGTTGTATTTATGTGACAATTATTCCCTTGTTATTTCCATAATTAAACTGGAAAGAACTGATGACTAACTATGCTCATAACATTCACAGTGGCAATGTCCCAGTTTCCAGCACCTCATCAGAAGCTGCTCTTGTAAATACCACCCACTCATTTGTAGGTTAAGGAGAACATGGCAGTGAATCACTGAACTATGCCTGATGGATTCTTGTGATATTGGCTCTTCTTCAGAGCCACTTCCAGTAAAAACTTAAACTTGATGATTCAGTGACACCTTGAAGTCTTTACTGCTTGTATATTTTACTAGCAGGGGTGATTTAGCACTTAATCTTCCACCTATGCAGAGATTACACACACATAATCCAAAAAGGTGATTTGACACTGTTATAATGTGAAGTAAATACTGAGTTTGTGTAAGTGGGCTGAGTTGTTCTTTATGTTTAACAAGAGACAATATGTAAACCAGTGAATAAACTTCATCCTGCCCTCAATCCATGTTTGATTTTTCTCTCAAAATGAGCACCCACACAAACCCTTCATTACTAAGTAACTGGCACAACATGAACCCTGTCCTTTAAAAAATGAAGGGATTTCAAAGACAGGACGTCAAATATATCCCCTCTGATTGCTGGGAGCTGCAACACTGCTTGTTAAGGACAAACAACACATTTTGCCTGGGAGCTGCAGCCAGGTCCAAAGAGACATGGAGCAACACATATCATATCACAACCAAAGCAAACGTGTATATACAAAATTTAGTTTGTAATATAAAATGCAAGACATAATTAACAGCAAAGTTATACACTCACCAAAAGTGTACAATGCAACTGCCACTCATTATTACCATTATAACCATTATTAGTCATGGTTTTCTGTTACATTTGAATATATCAGAGCCATCATTAATTTTTTTAGTAAAACCGATGTTTTTCCTACAAACCCAAATGTCTGTGTACATGTACTGTATATAAAGGTCAACTGATCTCATGAATGTAACTAATACAGAGAATCCTGTCCACAGCAGAAGTCGAGCAATGTATGAAAAAAACTGCAAATAAATTGCTAGAAGACATGGAAAGAAAAAATTTGATTTATTTAAAATGTTGCTTTGCAAATGAAAAAATGCATTCAGCATGTCTATTAAACATCAAGTATAGGCTTCATACAATTAGACTCATGAAAGAAGACTTCAACATTTTCCGTCAGCTTCATCAGCTTTGCTAGTAAGAGTATAAGATGAGATAAACAAATCTGTATCAAGAGTACAGAACACTTGTAAATCAACCTGATGAATTGATGGGTGAACATTACACGGATTCGATTTTTTGCATATTTGACCCCATCAGCTGTGTATAAGATAAAACTATGTACTCTACATGTGGACAGGTGCCATTTATGAGAAACAAGAACTTCACTCTATGAGAAAAGGCAAAGTTTTAATACATTTGTTATAACAAGTGGCGCATGAAGTCTTATTGTGATTTGTTTAGAAACTGAATTTGAGCGTAGCTCATTTTTTTAAAAAGGAAAATGTAATTTTAATCATGGCCACTAGAGGCCTGACCCCACCCTTAACCAGCATTACCCGTAAACTAAGTTTTTCGCGAAGCAGCTGTGACTGAGAGCTCTTGTACATGACTAATACAAGAGCACATTCACTCACCTCATGTATGTCCATGTCTTCAGGGCTCTCCCATCTGCTCAGAGAAGCTGGGGTGACAGGGACGACCACTATGTAGTACCACCTGTATCAAAGACAGTCACTCAACTGTGTCATGTCACGTATACACATGTTAACACAAAGTTTCATACATAGTCTTGTATTTTAGTTACCTATTTTTAAAGGCCGGACTTACATTCAGTCCTCACCTTTGTTAAACACCAATTGGATAAGTTTGGTTTTGGGATTGATGATAAGGTCTGGGACGTGTTTCTTACATTTAAGAATAGAACAAATATATAATTTAAAAAAATCCTAAATTGAATCAGCATTTCTAACCTAATCAGCACCTGTAGCAAATTGTCATGAAAAGTAGAAGATCTGTTTCTCATGAAGAAAACAGGTCCAATGGCTACATGTGCTGCTGCTGCCTTATTTACCTTAATTCACTATTTTGCATTGTTGATAACAAGATAATACATCTTTATATTTTAGTCTTTACTATCAGGGTGTATAGAAACGACATATACAAGCAATTTTTATTTCTTATATCATCAGAAAAGGTGAAACCGTATAAAAGTGTCCTCAGGCAAGATACTGAACTCCATTTCTTCTTCTTTCTCATATAGAAAGTGCTACACGTGGATGCACTGTATGAATGTGTGTGTGAATGGCCAAAACTGTACTGTTAAGAACTATGAGTGGTCATCAGGACTAGGAAAGCACGTACCGACTCTTTACCATATCTCAAACCACATGGTGGCACTATCACTACCATTTATGAGTATGTGAAGCACTAATGTATAGGGAACGTCTTATTGACACTTCATAGTCCTTGAGATCCATCTAATTATGTCATGTTTCACTTATTCATTAAATAAAACCATTACAATTAAAAATCATAAAATTATAGCCATGGACTATGGTTTCACTGCAAGTTGCATTGGCAGCTATTACAAAAAGAACATGATTGATAAAGTTTGTCCCATCACAATAGCACAGGTTTCTATTTATATGTTGCACCATGTCGCCACTTCATCTCATAGGAGCTCCATTAGGTTAAGGTCTGGAGAGAGAGCTGCTCATGTGACTGTCAGATGAACCTCTGATCAATTAGTCCGTCTATCTTTGTTCCTCTCACCACTCCGACAAAAACAGTAGACAGCAGTTCTTCTTCCTGCAGTGCACTACTGTCCTATCAATGTGTCCATTTTACCAACACTGCCTTTGTATATACTGTAATTCTTTGATTGTTAAATTTTGACCTTGCGTCTACTGACTAACTAGTGCTGTAACTTAACTTGTTTTCAAGTTAAGTTACAGCTCTTTCATCCCTGAAAAGGCCTGTTTCCTATGATTTTGGTGAACTAAACCTCTGTTTTTAGTGTACAGCTTACCTGTATACCATTTTAAGTTACTTCAACACTGTAAACTTGGGGATGCTCTACCTTACGAGATTCTATTCGTTTCTAGACTTTATTACAACTTATTTATGGATGATTTCTTCAGAGAAACAAAACCTTGAAACACGATTAAGTCGCAGTAATTAGCAGTGCATGTCTTCTTGACAGAGCAGGGTAGTAATAATAATAATAATAATGATAATAATAGTCTTCTCCTGAATTATCAGGAGAGAAGTGGGATGCCATTGTTAAATGGCTGTGGCCATTGTTAAATGGGTCCATTCAAATGGATGTGTGGTTATGGGCAGTAATGAATGTATTGTTGAGTCTTAATGTTTGTTTGTTCTTTAAACTACTCTGTCCTGATAACTCTGCAGCAGTGGATAATTGGCTGGTTATGAACCGGCTGTAACAAGACAAGAGATAAATAAAGCAGGCTTGTAGTGGCTGTTGTAATGGCGGCCCTCTAGGCTTGTGTCTTATTGATTTAAAACAAAAACATTGTCTGTGTTCACCTTTATATGTCTCCACTCGACTTCTCATTACAGGGCTGAGTGTTAGCAACAAAATATACTTCGTAGAAAAAGCAAACATAATTATCCCACAAAGTTTTGCAGAGTGTTAAATTATCATAATGTGTCGGTGACTCTGGCTCATGGAGGTAGAGCAGGTTCGATTGCAATATCCCCCATTCCCGAAATGACCTTGGGCAGGATACTGAACCCCAATCATGAGAAAGTGCTGCACATTGTTACAGTGTGTGAATAATACAAAAAACTGTACTGTAGAGTGCGTTGTGTGGTCCTCAAGGCTATATATAGATACAGGCTGTTTATTAATATAGACCATTTATTTGATATACTTATATATATATATTATAAGGTGCATTTTAATGTTGCTGCTGGTTGAGGTGAAACAAAATGTATGTTTGGTATAATAAAACTTATTTTAGACGTACAGTCCTAATCTTCAAACTACCCAGCAACTACAGCAGTCACATGTACTAAAGTAAGATTATTAAATACCATTTTCATTAAGTATAGCTCCCACTTGTACTTCAGTGCAGCTTTTTGTAAAAATGGCATGTGTACACATTCATGGCAAATAAAGCGGATTCTGAGTTGAACTACACTGCACAGTGAACATCACTCTCCTCCTCCCCTGTAATATTTATCAAGTCTAAATGGGGGGTTTGAGATTATATAACATGCCACAACCTCACACACAATCAAATAAAAGGTTTTTATTGACACTGTCCACATTTCAAAAAGGGGAGATTGATTGATTGATTTTCAAAGTAAAATATTGCAGTGCTTTCAACTGTACCTTAAGAATTCAGCTGTTTTACACTCCAGTCATTACAGCTATCATTTGATTTTATTCACAACCAGTCTTGATGTCTTCGTACCATTATTAAATCAGAATGACATGTGCAGAGCAGATTTTGTAAGTTTTGTAAACAGCACAGACCTGACAGGGGCTCCAGCAGGGGCCCTGGGTAGACTGACGGTCACTCTCCCACCCTCTTCCACATCGTGCTGGTACAGAGCAGGTTTCATCCTCAGGAGGTCGGGAGCTGTGCGGATGGAGACCTGCTGTTGGAGACCCCCGGCACTGTTCCCCCGACTCATCAGGACAAACGAGTAATCTGTATCTGGCTGAAGCTGAGTGATCAGCTTCCTCTTAAGGTTCCCCTGGACCTCCACACTCTTCTGGTTGTACAAGATCTGAAGCCAGAATGAGGATTTAGTTGCTAACACAGATAGAGGGCATGTGAATACTTAACGTTTACATTGACTGTCTGTGATATGAATAGATTCGTTCCTTGTCTAAATAACCCTGACACAAATAAAACTGGTGGGAGTAAATCAGTGTGAAATGGTACATTCATGATTCCCCCTCTCTTCTTTGCATTAAACTCACTGATTTTGGATAAAAAGAAATTAGCAGTATGGTAGAGTATGTTTCTTCTTGTTACATTAGATGTTTTGATGTAGATCATGTGACTTTATTTAAACCAACCCAGTCATTTTGGGACAAATTGGCAATTGATAATTTTGCTTTTCTAAAACAACAATTAATCCATTTGTCAAGCACCTCTATCTACACAGCGTTTAGCCATAGCACAGGTTACAAAACACAGTTAAAGCTGGCAACCTCAGTGTGACAGTAAGACTTATGGAAGCGGCTCTCAGTCACTGCTGACAATGTAGTTTCCCAATAAATTGTTCTAGTACCAAAGTAAAACAACCCTGTCTATCATAAATTACATTAATGTGTCACTCAACTGCAACAACTCCCCTCTTTTCCCACCATCTCCCCCTCTCTTCCTCTTTTTTCTCTGCTCACGGTGGCCCACATTGAGTCTGGTTCTACAGGTTTCCTCCAGTTATGGAGAGAGTTTTTTCTCCCTACAGCTCCAAAGTGGTGCTCATTGTGGCAACTGTTGGGTTTTGCTGCAATTTTCAAGTTCTTGACCTAATTTATAATACAATTTGCCATCATACAAATAAAATTGTATTAAAATTGAACAACATTTCCATTTCCTGAATAACCTATTACGTACAGATTCTAATTCTCAATGTTATGAGGAGATGTTGATTCAATTTATGTATTTGGCAGTGTCACAGCTCCTCTGACACTAAAGGCAATAGACTTGGTGCTGAGCACAAGCTCCTTAGAGGCCTACCACACCAGACAGACAGACCCCAGGTGCAGGCTGTGCAAAGATGCCTCAGCACATAACATCAGGATGTAAGATGCAGGCATGTACGGCGTACATGGAACGCCACAACCAAGGTGGCTGGCATACTGTACAACATCTGGACCGAGTATGTGCTGGAAGTCCCAAAGTAATAATAGTAGACACCTCCAAGGGTGAATAAGAAGGACAGAGCTAAGATCCTACCCTTCCAGATGCAGACAAATAAAATGGTGATGCCTGATCAACCACACATTGTGGTGGTCAAGAAAAAGCAAAAGAAGGCAGTGGATATAGAAGTAGCGATCCCAAGTGACAGTAACATCAAGAAGAAGGATCATGGGAATATCAAAAAATACAAAGGGCTGAAAGAAGAGCTAGACTAGAAAAGATTTTGAAAGTGAAGGCAACAGTGGTGGCAGTGGTAATGGGACCACTCAGGGCTGTAACCCCTGAAGTGGCTCCAGCAGATTCCGGGAATAACATCTGAAATCTCTGTCCAGAAGAGCCCTCATAGAGACCAAAGTCATCATATCCTCAGTTTTTTTCTGTTTACCTTTTATCAAGACTTCCATTAGAGTTTCTTTTGTGGAGTGTGTGTGTACTATGTCTGTCTATCTTTGTATGATAACAGTGTCATGCGTAGGTCCAGTTAAATCCTCACTCACTACAAAAATGTTGACATTTGCATACATTTGACATGAGCACTGACTACCTGATGACCAGTTATCCGATTAAGTGTGTGTAATGTGTGTGGCTGGAACAGTGGGCTCATCTTACCTTGAGAGGCACTTGAGATGTGTATGTTTCTGGCACTTCCCAGGTCAGCAGCACAGAGGTTTTCGTCACAGCCTTCACGCCAAAGTTCTTGGTGAATACTGGGGGAAGGTCTGGATGATTATTAGGTGGTTAATTTAATTGTGGATATGACTGAGATGTTGATGAGTTGGTGCACAAAAGCTAATAAATGATATACAAAAGTAGTTTAATCTCAATGCACTAATATTTACAGAGCCCCTCTGGTGACATTTGAGAAGAAACTTGGAAGCCTCTTCGACAAGAGATGAAACTTGTCACTTAATCACATGATGTAGATTCTAAAATAAGCTTTAGTTTGACACATACAGTCTGCACTAACTCTGATTGAGGCCAAACTGTGTCGGAAACTTTGCGATTAATAGTGAAGAAAAACATTGCGCCCTATCCTCATGACCCATGACGCAACGTGGAAAGCATCTCCAGTACGCAGACAGCCTGACTGTGTGCATTTGCTATCTCATGATTGGATGTGTCTGGCGCATCTGGAGAGATGGAGATGTAGCCTACTGGGTGTGCACAGTGGGATAATCAGACATAGTTTAATGCTTTTATCCTTTTCTTAAAGTTAGTTTATCCTCAAAAATTGAATATTTATTCGGAATGGGGGAGAGATATTTTACAGATTTACCATTTACCATCTCTATCTCAGACTCGTGCAGTCAACACTCACCAAAATGACACTACACTGTTGTGTGAGGTACACTCTACTTAAAGGGAAGAAACAAGGGAAGGGAAGTTTAGAACAATATCTGGTTCATTAAGTCAACCCCTGCTGCTAACACATCAGTACATCTGAATGTCTCCCTGTTAGAACTGTTTATAACCAACTCTATCATACAGGATGACACTTGATACACAAGTGAAACAGCACCTACACCTTAACTACTTAATTAGACTTTATCAATGCTTGCTAGCAAAACTCCAAAACCCTTTTTGTATTTGTTTGTGTAAAGATATGAGGATGTTTTTTTTGGACATACTAATGTTGATTGGACTGAAGACATGAATGTGTTTCAGTCAGACCACTCACGTTTGAAAGGTTGATTGCAGCAGAACATAGTGTTTGGCGTCTATAGGCTCCGGCTTTATCACCACCCCAGATATGATGACTTAGATATGATGGGAGTGATTGGGGGAGCAAATATTTAAAACCCAATTGTCTAATCCTTCTCTGTATTTGAGTGGATTGTAGAGAATGAGACATATTTGGCGGCCGTGGCTCAGCGGTAGAGCAGGTCGTCCAATAACCAGAAGGTTGGCAGTTCAATCCCTGCTCCTGCTCGCCACAACCGAGGTGCCCTTGAGCAAGGTACCGCCCCCCCCAACATCTGCTCCCCGGGTGCTGGCAGCAGCAGCCCACCGCTCCAGTATATGTGTGTACATGGCATCTGTCAATGTGTGTTTCATCCAGGTGCCAAATGGATGGGTTAAATGCGGAGAACAATTTCATGTAAAAGTGTTAAACGTGACAATAAAAGTATATCTTCTTCTTATATCACTTGATTGGAGCAGCGCAAAGCTTTGCTCCATTCTATGTAGTAGCAGAGCAGAAGCTGAGATTAAATGTATTAATTAGCTATTATTAATGTGACCAATATTTTAGCAGCTGCAGCTACATTGTCTGGCTGCTTATTTACACTTTTCAATGTATTTTGAACTTAATCGAAATTAACCTTCTCTGTCTTAAGGAGCCTTACTGTTTACAAACTGGTTATTTACTGAATCCATAGATCTGTAAACCATATATATTGATTGGTAAAAAGCAAAATAAATGCAAGTTACAGCATACAAGACACAATATAGCTTTAACTCTTTAAATGCTCCAATTCAGATTTACACATGGCTTTTCCCCCCTCAGCTGAGGCTCTGTACTTTCATTTCACCTGTTGCTCCAAAATTGTGATTTTCTTTCCCTGCTATTGATGCATGCAGCCTCTCCTTCACTTTTCACTGACCTGTGCCTGCTTTATGCCAAAATCTGTGCTCAACAAAATTATACAACTATTCTTATTCCAGTGTTAGTCTGTGCAGGGAGGTTTTGTTTGTGTTTGCATATTTCAAGATAACAAAGCCCTAAATGTTGAAATCATGGAGTGATGTACAAAGTACTGAGGTCACAGATGAAGCTGCAGTAAGCACAGTACAGCACTGATAAAAAGCTTGCACTTCTCACCTGGCATGGAGGTGGACATGGTCCTGCTCTGGATGCTGGGGCTAATGGGACCTCCCCCCTTACTTGTGAAAGCTTGGACTCTGATGTCGTAGGTCGTGTCAGGCTGCATACCTTGGACGGTCATCCGTGTTTCTGTGGTACTATTGGTGTTATTGTGCTGGCTATTGATATCACGATACACCACCACATACTTCACAATTTTCCCATTCCTCTCGGCCAGAGGAGGGGGGTCCCAGGCCAGTTGGGTGGAGGTGGCAGTCAGCCCCACCACACTCAGATTTGGGGGGTAGCTGCCGGGAATGTCTTCAGGAGTGCTGATCTCCTTCACATATTCCTCCCCATTACCTGCTCGGTTTTTGGCACACAGTTTAAAGATGTAGGTGGCGCCCTTGTGGAGGCCGGTGACTGTGAAATGGTCATCTATTTTTCTGAAGTCTTTGATGGTGAAAGCTTCTTCCTCTACTCTCTTGTACTGCAGTTGGTATCCCACATGCTCCCCAACCATCTCTTTAGGAGGCTGCCACTGGATCAAGGCTGTGTTCCCTATAGTGGTGCTGATCATCATGGTGGGCTTACCAGGTACTAGAAGACAATAAATAATCCAGAACATGAAACAATTTGTTTTCTCTACATATGAAGTACTTTAATTCCCCAAAAATCTCATAATTGCATGTGGCAGTGTTTGCGGCTAAAATATCAATAAAATAGTTTAGACAGGGCAGAAAGAGCAGTAGACTCTTTTATTTTGTAGTTACTTACCTTGTGTGTCCTTTGACTGTCGTGCCCTTTGTATAATTGTCTCTCTTGTGATTGTCTGTCCTGCTCTGATGAGTTTCACCTGTTTCTCATTATCTCTGTCTGCTTTAAGTATTCAGTTTCTGCACTTCTGGTCTTCTTTTTCAGGTTGTCTATTAGTCTCCTTGGGTCTGTTCACTTCTTTTCATCTACTTCCATAGTATCCTTTCCTGACTCATTTTGGTGAGAATCTGAATCAGGGAGCAGCTCCAGGAATTTTTATTTAAATATTTCAACATTGTTAGATAGGGCGTTTCTTAGAATTTCCCTTGATTTCTCAGAGAATAATTCATTAAATTTCCAAATTTAATGGAAAAAATGATATTTATGAGTGTTAGTGAGGTGGTGATCCAAATCCAGATTTAGTGAATTTAAATGTGGTTTCATTGGTGGACTGTTGGGCCTTGGTGGAAGTATGCACTCTACTGTATGCCATTCTAGTTCATTGTTTGTTGAAGCCAATCTGCTTACCAGAGACTGTAAACCTGTCCATTTAATTAAATGCTCCTCACTGCAACTACATTTTTCTTATGTCTTCATTTTTTCCTGAGTTTTTCTGCCTAAATGTAACCAAGCCATCACAGTGACAGATCTGAAAACAGTCAAACAATTTCTTCTGCAAACACTTATTTGTTTTGATGTTTGACTGATGAACATTTGAGTCAGAATTGTTGTCAGGGAAGTCTGGTGGTGAGGTTCAGGGACATTGCCCGGATTAAGGCTGGTGTTTTGCTTATGGATTCACCTTTTTCATGTAGAACGTGTCATTCCTTCATGGAGAGCTATTGAATTTGTAGTGTTGGCAAAAATAAAATTTGAAGACAGTCAATAATGTGTATTTAACTGTAAACTAAATACACACCTGCTCCTGTGGTGGTGACCACCTTAGCCTTGCTGCGAGCTCCATCACCCTTAGTGGTATATGCAGCCACAGTCAATGAGTAGGTCGTCTCTGGGAGCAGGCCTCTTATAATGGTCTCCTGCATATCAGGTAGATAGAGAAAGATAGAAGGGAGGGGGAGAGGGAGAGAGAGGGAGAAAAAGAAAAAAAGAAAAGGCCAAAAACATTCTGGTTAAGACAAGGTCTTCAGTTAAATTGGCGTGTTGTCAGCCAGGCCCTCATACATCAGCTCCCAAGATATTTCAACTGATCTTTAAAAGAAAAAGTCAAGTGAAGGGGAACCTGGAATGCTGAAATGCTTGATAGAATACAGTGGGGATGAATTCCCAAGGATCGAACAGATGAAACAATTTAAGACTGAAGATGTGCCAGGAGCTGCTTTAACAGGAGCCAATCGATCGGCAGTGACATCCTGTCAGTCCGAATCAAATGCCGCTATCCTCCGCCTCCCTCCTGTTTCAACCATCACTGCTGGGGGGGAGGGGGACGACTCAACTCAGCGGGCGGCAGTGGCTCAGGAGATAGAGCGGGGGCGTCCACCAACCACAAGGTAACAATTCGATCTCTGTCCATCCCATTCCACATGCCACATGACAAGTGTCCTTGGGACAAGATACTGAACTCCAAAAATAGCCCAAGACAGTTTTCTCCGCAATGAGTGATTGCTGGTCATAGATGCACTGTATGAATGCTTAAGTGACTGGCAAAACTGGCAAAACTGTACTGTAAACACCTTTGAGTGGTCATCAGAACTATAAAAATCGCTATAAAAATACAGATTATCTACTATTTAACTCCACAACAAATGCTCATTAACATTCAGCAACCTTGATTCACCAAAACAACAGGAGGAACTCAGTCCGTGGCTTACATGAATGTTTGAGAGCAGATATAGTCACAGTGAAGATGACAGTTTAAATGGCAGACAAGACAGCATGAACCAGACATGACTTCAGGTTTTCATACAGGTGGACATAAAACTTGTGTGGCCAGCTTTACCTAACCTACAGAAGAGAAACATTATTCTTTACTCTCTTTTGGGAGTGATGAGCAAATGGTACAAGTATTATTTGTTGGATGTATTCATGGTTATATGGACTTTACCAAATCATTTATGTTTTAGAAAGAGAAGTCAGTTTCACAAACTATAAAAAATGAAGACGAAGCTCATATTTTAATTTTTTATGATAATTAAAGTTAAAGTTTTAAACAGTCATTTATTGATGTAAAGAAAATATAAATGAACAATTAACTGAATACAAATAGAATATCCATCAATCCATAAGAGCCAATTCCAGTTTACATTGGGTAAGGGATGTAAAAGGAAAAATGAAAATAATTGGTGGAATTCACGTCATGTCTCCTGTGTTTTTAGTCTTCTTTTATAAAAGAGAGTTTTCATTTCTATTATGGACTGTGTATTCTTATGTTTGGAATTGTGTTTTAAGTTTTGTTCCCTGAGTCCCACTCTGTTCCTTTCTGTGTCCCACTCTGTGTCACTCTCTGTGTCCCTCTCCTGTGTTCATTTCTGTGTTCCACCCTGTGTTCCACCCTGTGTTCCACCCTGTGTTCCACCCTGTGTTCCACCCTGTGTTCCACCCTGTGTTCCACCCTTTGTTCCACCCTGTGTTCCTCTCTGTGTCCCTGCAAGGGTGCCTTGAATCTAACCTGTCTTTCAGGACAAGAGGGAAAACTGAGTTTTGTTGGTGGTGATATCAAATAAATACAATTAAACAGATACATTTATTTTGCACTATTTTTAAGAGAGGCAACCTTTTGCACACTTAATTCTTCATGTACAACCGTTTTATTCTTATGTACAAAACAGATTTTACTTGCCACGTACAATCATCCTGGTGTCATACATCCATCCTGTGTGTACATACTCTGCTTTTTTAAAATTTAACTTTAAAATAAATTTTTATTCTATTGTCCTTTTTTAATTTCTTTATTCTCTTATCTTCCTCAATTCTGACCTGCCTGCTGCTGTAACAAGTAAATTTTTTGTGGATCAATAAAGTTCTATCTAATCTAATTGCTGAACAATTTGAAATCTACAGGAGAAAACTAAAACAACTTGGAGGGTACTTTGTTTATGATTGAAAATAAGCAATCAGAGACTTCTTTGCCATTGCATTGTGCAGTAGTGAATATTATAAGACGATTGTTAAATACTGATCTCCTTGCTCTATTGATATTTGGAATTTGCAGGCTGTGGGTGACTAAAAGGACGGCAGAGACTGGACTTGATGTCTCAAACAGGAAGCATAAGATTTGAGTCTAGTGAGAGTAGCTATGGCTCAAAATCTCACAGCCACTACCCGCTGAAAGCATCAGTTGCAGATTTCCACTTTGCCCTTGTTTCTTTCCCATGTGGTGTTGTCAAATCGGCAACATCATTGACTGGGTAAGAAGCAGAAGGACCTCTAAAATTGTTTCAGAAGTGTTGCCCAACCCGTGATTAAAAAAGCTTCTGTTTATTTCCCATTAATTCTACCTAATTAGTTGCTAGCTAACAAGCTGTGAACTCATCAAAATGACGTAACCCTGTGAAAGGCAGTATGAAAGATAAATGATGTGCTTTGTTGCTACATAAATGCAATTAGTCTCCGACTCCTCACATTAGTCGTTAGTCACAGTGAGAAATCAACAGAGTTGCAGTAAGGACAAGCATTGCCACTTACACTGCCATCAAAGTCCTTTAAGACAGTCCTTTTCCTTCTGACACTGACAGGAGCTCTTATAACCACAAACTCTCTTGACATCTTTGTTGGTGTCTTCTATGTGTATGGCTCCGCTGTATCATCCTGAGATATTAATATGTTTTTTTTCCCATCTTTGCATCTGTTGTGTATGGCATCATCAACCCCCCACCCCCACTCACTTAGGTGAATCCAGCAGGGGATCTCCTTCTGTGTTCTCACATTGGATACAAGGGGTCCGGAGCAGGGCCGGGTCTAGACAGGCATGTATGAGGGGGCAGCCACAAATCTTGAGGGGGCATTGTGCGAAACATGACATGAGAAACAACTTGATATATTTTATATTTGAGGGGGCAAGCAAGACATTAAGACATTAAGAAGTGGAGCGGAGGAGAGAAGCATGAGATAATAAAAAATATATGAAATTTAATATATTTTGGGGGATTTAGTTTGAGGGGGCACAACATTTATTTGAGGGGGCCAGGCCCCCTCTTGCCCCTGCCTAGACCCGGCCCTGGTCCGGAGTTCATTACATGTCTGAAAGCAGCTTTAAAGGGACAATTCAACCAGTACAAACATTGTTCAGGATCAAAAAGATCGAATCAAAACTGTCTGCATTGCTGCCATCTGCACCACAACAGATGAGATCAAACATGTTTGGTTTGACACTTGTGTGAAACTGTAATGTAGTTACACTAACTCTTAGTTTGTTTTAGTTTTTTTGTTTGGTTCCATGTCTCATCACTAACTCTCCTGTCATTTCAGGGCCCGCCTTTCTTCCCTGCCATGCAATCATCTCATTTCCCTCACTTGGTTTTCCCCGCCCACCTCCTCACCTGCAGTCCATTTGCTCATTAGTTCCTCAGTATATATTCCAGTCATTTTCACTTGATCCCTGCCAGATTGTCTAGTGTGTTCTTGCCTAGCTATCCTGCGTTGTATTCTGTGTTCTTCCTGCCTGTTCCTGACCTGACTGCTACCCCGTTTGGATTTTGGATTCCCTTCTTACCTGCCCCTTTGGATTTGTTTGCTGTACGGACTGATATCCTGGTTTTGACCTCTGCCTGTCTTTTCTCTGCTCTGTCGGTGAATAAACCACGTTGCTCACACTAAGACTGTCTGTTGGCGTGCTTTTGGATTCTCCCTTGCCAGCACCAGTGAGCGTGACAGAAACTTGTGTTTTAAACTGGTCTACTACTCCATTTACACCAGATATTAAAATGTATTCTTGGTGATCACATTACAATCAGATAAAGTGTGACCACATGAAAGTACAGGTTTAAATGCACCAAAGTCACAATGAGGATGGATTGAGATTGGTCAAACCCCATCCATCGCAACTGTAAATACAAATATGTTGTCAAACCACATACAATAACTATGTTGGTGGAGATTGTCACATGTGATTTCTTCACCTATGGCTGGAGAGAGGAAGATATCAATTGAAAAACAAGAAAAAGTACTAACACAGCTTTACTGATGGATGGATACATCTACTTCTACTCTTCTTTTGATTGTTGCTTTTTGGACAAGGAAGAGAGGCTACAACATAAGCTGGACCGATATCAAATCTTGGTCAGGTCTTGATGTGGACACACTATTTCAGGTTAAAATTGTAAATAAAACATTTTAATGTCAGGTGTCAGATCAAGTCCAAGTCTCAGGACATATGGAATGGTACTGATCGCAGAAACAACAGAAGTGTTTGAAGTTAGGGAATTGAGCTGAATATTCTCTGGTGCTGTCAAACTGACAATGTGTATGCAGCAGAGATCTCACTGTGGCTATAGGGCTTATAGGGCTTTGAAGGCTTTCTGTAGGATTTCTCACCTTGGGGGAAATCTGAAGAGTCGGACTGCTCAGGGCATGCAAACTAAATTGACTACATTTGGACATCATCATCACTGGATATGCTACTATATATTGGACTGTTGCACCCTGAACATGCTGTAGCTCTGATAAATAATGAAGGCAAAAGTCTGGCACCACAGTGAAGAAGTGTCCTCCATTAAATATCATGTTGTCAACGAGAAGAACTATTAACCGCAATGTTTACATAAGAATAACACCATTTTAGTGAGTCCCCTTTCATCCCCTCCTGGAGTGAGGCGGAGTGCTCACTCAAATACAAGCACACATGCATGCACACACACAAGTTTTGTTTTAGGGTGCTGCATTCAGGTGCTGTCGAAAAACTAAAACACTTAACAGAGGACAACCAAGGCGAAGTCTGTCATTTACATTTCAGTGTTATGAAATGGTTTTAAAATGATGACAATAATATAATTTATAACAATAATTTCCGGGACAACATATCTGCCAATATTTGTTATTGTGACAGACCTACCACAATATTTTGCAAGATTCCTTGCACAGT